TTTTAAAAAAAAAAAATAATAATAAATCGATAATTTATAATAAAGAAATTGATCTTCAAAAAGCCTACTAAAAAAAAATAGATATACCAGTATCTGTAATAAAAGTAGATAAGGCATATTGACACTGCAGATCATATGTTTGAATCCGCAGGTAGGTGGTAGGCTGCCAGATTCAGATGCTTCAGTGGGCCGTGATGTCAGTAGAAACTCACTATCTATATACTGCTATTTTATTATCATTAATTTTTTATTATTATGTGATTAAAATTTTTTGATGTTTCGAGAAAATTTTCAAAATTCTTTTTTTTTTTATTTTTTTTACAAAGTTTAAGAATCGTAATGATATTAAATTTTTATGATATCATAAAAATTTAATATCATTCTTAAATTTTTTTAAAATAATTAAAAAAAAAAAGAAAAAATATAATAAAAAAAAGAAAAAAAATGAAAGAAAAAAAAAAGAAAAAAAAAAGACTTCTGAAACAACTGAAATAACTGAACAAATATCAACTCAACAAACAAGAAGTATCAAAGAAATTGAAGACGAATTATATGAAGTTGAAAAACAATTTATTCAATTAAAAAAGTATGTAAAAAAAAAATAAAAAAAAAAACAAAAAAAAGTAACAAATAATAATTTATTTTAGAAGACGAAAAAATCTTGAAAATAAATTAAAAGAAAAGAAAGAAGAAAGAAGAAAAAAAAACAAAAAATGAAAAAATGAAAAATTAAGAAGAAAAATAAAAAAAAATAATGAATCGATAGAATAATTTTGTTTTTTTTTATTTTTCTTTTATATTTTTTTTTGTATTTTTTTTTTTATTTTTTTTTTGTATTTTTTTTTGTATATTTTTTTTAAAAAATAAAAATAAAAATTTTAAATTTAAAATATTATTAACTAGAAGGACTATGCAAAAAAAATATCAATTAAAGAGATTGATTACTCTTTGAAGAAGTTCGTTTAAATAATTATTTGTATTCAACAGGATGACTATTTTTGTTTCCATAAAGTTGATCACATTTTAATTTAAAATTAATTGCTAACTGTTTTGCTTGTTTGCTAGTTCTATAACTTCTAATATGAAAAACTTTATTTCATCTTTTATTATTTTCTTGCCAATAAACAATCCAACCATTATAATTTATATGAAATGCAACACCATTAACATCTGAAGTATTATTTTTTAAAAGAGTTTTATTTAAACCATTTTCTTTTGAAGTTGTTTCTTGCAAGTTTATTTCTCAATTATCACATCCTTTTTTATCAATATGATCTATTATTTTCTATTCAGGATAAATCATTCGATATAATAAAATGCCTTTATTATTAATAGTTGTTTGAATATAATATGTATTAGATTTGTTTTTAATACAATGCCAAGTATAAGTTTGTAATAAATTATAATGGTTGATGTTTATAAGAAAAGTAATATTAAGGTTTTGAGTTTTAACTTCATAATAAAGTTTATTGTTAATTAAAACAATTCGATATTCATTTAGTTTTATTTTTCGATCAGTTGAATTTGTTGGTCTTTTCCAGTTCAAAGCTGGTTCAAATTGTTTAAATTTTTTAGACCAATTCATTATTCATTATTGTTAGTAAAGATGAATACAGTAGGTTTATATAGGTACTATTATTAACCTATAAGGTCGGCAGGTATGTTACTTTACAGGTTTACTCAAATCAAAAATTTTATCACTGTCAAATTACAAAATTATTGAATTGGCCAAACAATCATTTAGTTAATTTTTTACCAGATATCTAAAAATTTATGAGAACAGCTGTAATTTTTAAAAAATTGACCTAATGATTATTTAGTGATTTGATAAGTTATTGGTTTCGGTATGATCAGTGTAACGTTTATTATTTACGTAGATAGGTGTATACGTGTATTTTAAATTGATCACTAATTGATTTGTAAATAAAACTCGTAAAATATAAAATGTTACAAGGAGTTCTAACCAAAGTTTTATCTTTGTAATTTATAAAAATACTAGCCAGGCTTTTTTCATTAAGTCTTAAGATATTTTATATTATTCAGATTTTTGGACACAGTTTTCTTAGAAATGTCAGAAGTTCTTCATCACATCATATCTTTGCAATGATTCGAATTGATAACTCTTCTAAATTTTTTTCAACTATTTTTCTAGCGAATATGCTTCGAAAATACTATATTTATCTAGTGTTATAGCAATATCGCTTATCTAGTTATTATTAATTAAAATACACTGCAAATAATATGTTTTTAATTTACAAATCGATTAATAATCAATTTAAAATATATATATATGTAGATACGTACATAACTGGCTTTAGACTATCTACATAAATAATAAACATTGCACTGACTATACTGAAATCAATAATTTATCGAATCGGCCAAATAATCATTCGGTCAATTTTTTTTATCAGATATCTAAAGTTTATAAGAACAGCTATAATAGACTGATCTTATTAGAGACCAGACAGACTCAATAAATTGTTAATAAACTAAGTTGTCAAGAATGAGTCTTGTCAAGAAAAAAGAATATTAAAATTGAAGAAATAACTGAATATCTATATGAAATCTTAAGCATTGGTTTTACAGAAGAAGAAAGATTTTGAAAAGAAAATAAAAAATTATCAGAAGAATTAGAAACCTTACAAAAAAGAATAGAAAAACAAGAAACAGAAGATTTAATAGAAGAAAGAAGAAAATTAGCAAAAAATATATATATATTAAGAATATATTGTAGTAATAAAAAATATAATATTATTTAATTATTTTTATTATATTATTTATTTACGTATTTATTATTTTTTTTTAAATAAATTTTACGAAAAGTGGTAATTTTGTCCTCTCAGTAATATTAATCAATTTTAATGTTTCACAGTAATAAAATTTAAAATACTTTTATAATATCAATATTTTGTCGATCAAATTTATTTAAATGTTTTACAAATAAATTTATTTAAAATTACTAAAAATGGTTAATAAAATTAATTAATTATATACAAATTTAATATAAATACTATGCCTTGCCTAATATGATAAATATTCGTTACAATAAACCTCTAAATTATCATAAGACCAAAAATATTTAATTCCAAACTTCTCACATTCTAAATTTACTTTATAGAAGAACATCTCAAAATTATTCTCATAACTTTGTTGTCGATGTTCCATTAAATCTAAAGTATTATAACGAATAAAATAATTATACCCTCCGTTAAATAAATTAAAATAACTTCTCGTATATGCTTTGAGAAATTCGAGGATACTTTTTAATTGTTGGTTATTAGAATTATCAGTATATCCTGAACTGATAATTTCTTTTTCTAATAAATAGTCTTTAAATTTTTTATAACTAGTAAATATTTTATATTCACTAGTTTCGATATATTCTTCAATAATTTCTTCTTGATTTTCTTTTTCGATAGTTGGTAAAGTGGATTCGAAAGTCTCTTCATTATCGATAGTCGAACAAGTAGATTGGGATTCTTTCCATCCCTAAAAGTTGTCCGGTTCTTCATTGTGAACTTTTTTTTTTTTAAAAAAAAATCAAAAATTCTTTTTTTTATTTTTGATTTCTTATTAACTAAAGTAGTTTCACTACTAATAGTTTCACGTTTGTTTCTTTTTATGTTAAGTTTTTTTAAAAAAGACATTTTAAGTAATTGTTAATCGTGTTTTAATATAATTTGAAAGACGAAAATTTGTTTCTATTTATAAGTTTTTAAGTAATTTTATATTTCTTCTGTTTTTTTTTAAATTTATTTTATTGGTTTTAATTTGTTTTTTTTTTTCTACCCATTGATGATTAATTTTTATGAATATAGAAATTATTAATTCTTATCCTTAAAATTTTTTTTAAATAAAAATAATTGGTTAAAAAAATATAAATAACTACTTCTACTATGAGCTCACTTTTTTTTTAATTAATGATGATTCCAAAAATCGATCAAATAAATAATATTCTTTTTAATGAATATAATTGTATAAATTATTTATTTGATAAAAATTTAATTAAACAAAAAACTACTTGTGATATTTGTAATAGTAATTTATACGTATATAAAAAAATATTTAGATATATTAACAAAAACTGTAAAAAATCTGTTTCTATTTATGCAAATTCTTTATTTTCTAAAAATCATATTCTTTGTAATGATATCATTTTATTGGTCTATTTTTGGATATCTAAATTTTGTTTTACAAATATTTTAACTATTACAAAATATTGTAAAGAAACAATTTGTAGTTATACTAAATTTTTTCAAGAATTAGTTATTGAATCATTAAACAAAAATGATAAAGTATTAGGAGGGATTGGTGTAATTGTTGAAATAGATGAATCAAAATTTGGAGATTTTTGGGTAGTAGGAATTACCGAAAGAACTGGAAATAAGAAATGTTATTTTGAAGTTGTTAATAATTATAATTATCTAACTCCTTTTAAATTTATTAAAAGACATGTAAAACCTGGTTCTACAGTATATAGTGATTGTTAGAAAGGTTATAATAATCTTGATAAATTAAATATTAAACATATTCGAATTAATTATTCAAAAAAAATATCACAACAACAAAAACTTAGAAGAATTTATACAAATACAATAGAAGGTACTTGGAATGCTTTAAAATTATCGATTCCAAGAGATAAAAGAAGAATTGGAATTATTGAACCATATCTTAAAGAATATAGTTGGAGACGTAAATATAAACAAAATCTCTGGAAAGCATTTCTTTCTTGTTTAAAAAAATAAACTTTATTTATAATAAATTATTTAAGTTACAAATAACAAAAAAAACAAAATTAACTATCTTCTCTGAATAGTTAAAAAATTACTAAGTGAAGGAGTTGTCTCTCATTGTTGAAAACCTGATGCAAGTTCTCTATAACCTTCAAAATCCATATTCGGATTAATAGTATCAATATCAACTATAATTATTTGAGAAATTAAAAACTCACTAAAATTAATATATTCTTCTTTAATCCAATATTTATTTGCAATTTCTTCGAATAAATGATTTTGAAGTCTTCGTTATCGTAAATAAACTAAGTATATTCAGAAAAAACAAACTTAAAAGTTTTATCATATTCAGAATTTTTATCTTTTTTAATATCAATAAAAATTTCTCAAGTAACAAATTTAAGAAAATTTTCAATTTGTTCAGAATTGCTATTATAAGTATCCCAAAGATACTTAACAAAGAGATAAGAAAGAAAGATTTTTTTAAAATTAATGTCAATTTGAAAATGTTCGTAATCGAAAATATCAGATATTTTTTAAATTTAAATTTTGTTAAGAATTTATTTACTTAAAAAAACAAATGTTCAAATTTTATATATTTTTTATTTATATATAATATACAATATTAATTTAAAATTAACTAATATACATTAAAACTAACCATATTGATATATTTTAAATCAATATGCAAGTTACCACGAAGGCTGGCAAAATATCATCAAGTATCAGGCCAATTTCTCGACTGATATTTTGCTTTAATAATATAAAAAAAAACTAATTCAAAATTCTCAACCCAAATTTCTTCCACATCGTGCGCTCTTGAGTACTCAACATTTGGAAATCTGTCACTTGCAGCTTGTTTAATATCAACCATTTCTTGTAGATTACTTAAAGAAGGAACTAATTAAGATATTCTTTTGGAATATCTATGATATAAATCATTTTGGAAAAGTTTCAATTAACGTATTCCAGAACCAAAATTGATATAGTACATTTATTATAATTGTAATTATTACATTAATAATAACTACAGAAACGAAAAAAAAAGGATCTAAGTGATAAGATTTTTTTAAAAATAGTAAATATCTTCTTGATATTCACCAGTGAAAAGATATGTGAGGAATAGTTCTAAAAAGACCATAAATGCGATAATGAAAAAAAGTTTGTTAAACATTTTAAAAAATATTTTTTTTTAATAAGCTTTATTTTGTTAAGTGATAAACACAATGATTATGAAAGAGATTTCTTTATTTTGATAAACAAAATTTTAAGTGATAAATACAATATTTACGTAGAAGATTCTATGTTCTTTTATCTTTATTTTGATAATATAAATTTATAAAGTACTCAATTTATTTTAAATATATTACTAAATTAATATAAATAATAAATTACTTTGTCCTCGAGGATAAAGGACTTCCAATGGAGGAAGTCTGTCTTAAAATCCTAAGCCGGGTGTCTGAAAATAAGGGGTCC